TAATGGATTATATTCTATCATTTACTCCCACTATCTTTCAAAAATTAAAAATATTAAAAAGCATATCAATAGTATGTGAAAATTTACCTGAATAGCTGTGCCATCAAATATCGTCTTTGCCTAAATTTTTCGGGGTTTTCATATCGGTTTTTTGTCTTTCGCGGGTGAGAATAGTGTGTACGACTTTTAAATCTTGGAACCAATGGTCAAAAGTCGAAAAAATATAAAAAAAACAACGAGAATTTACTGCAAAAACGTCGAAAAGCAAAAATATTTTTGATAAAACCAGGGGGGGGGGGTGAAAATTGTAGCGGGCTCAGAATTGAGCCTGGTCAGTGGTAATTTCATGAGCCGGAGGAACCAGTTGTCATGGAAATGGCGTCATATGGCGCGAAAATCCGCCATGTTTTTGCGGACACTTTTTTTGCCGAGCACTTCCTCCAGTAATATAGTATAGCTCAGTGGTTTTAGCGGAGTCTAAAGTTCATCAAATATCGCGGGCGTGGGTCACCAACGGTGTTGGGTGGGTGGTCATCCTCACTGATCTCAAAAATATGGCGGACTGTCACGAAAAGCGGACACTGATTGGTCCAATTTAAAGTTTGCATTATAACGACTGCATGACGACAGCGAAATAGCAAACATTTCTTGAGTTGATTTGATGATTGATAAATTTCTTGCAAATATATTTCATTTTGCTCGCATTTTTGCAAGATTTTGTAAATTTCAAAAGCTCTCTGAGAAAGAAACTGCGAAAGAATCGGCTAAAAGAAGGGAGCCGACGTTAACGAAGGTAAGTTTGTTTTAAATATTGATTTTATAATGGATTTAAAACCCGACGGCTTTTGCGTATATGAAACTAAACAAGACGCATATAATTTCAGTGTATCTTTAATATTGATTCCCTTTTTTATGATATTGAATTTTTTAAATAAATAAGAAAGCAAAGTTATTTGCAAGCGAGAATTTTAAATCATTTCAGTATTGCAAACTCAAAGTTTATCGATAAAGCCATTTTAAAAGGCAGTTTAGTTTTATATTAAAGAACACAAATGACTTTAAACCGCTTTGCGAAGCGTTTGTGGTTGAATTTTACCTTAAATCGAGGCTTATATTACGTATAATAACATACCTAACATATATATGTTGGGAAATTAATAATTTTGTGATTAAAAGTAATATTTATAGGCGATTTTTCATTTGTAAGAATATTCTTAAAAAATTATCGTGTTACCATGACAACTTAGATACTTCATGTTCGGAAAATACAATAGTTTTGTCAGCAAGGCGAGGGTTTCTACATGCATGTATTTTCTAGTTATTATTTTATAAACAAGAGATGATATTTTCAGGTTAAAGATATTTTCAAATTTCAGTATTTCGAGAAGTTGAAAATAGGCCGTTACATTTTCGTTTGTTCTTGAGAAAAAAGACATTTGTTTTGTTTTGTTTTTATTTTATCCAATCTAGTTGGACAGGCAGTGCCCCAACTCATGATACCATAATTAGGTAAGGATATATTAGTGTGTAGTAAAGTTGTTTTAGCATATGGATGGATACGAAATGTCTTAGTTTATTTATAACTCCAGTGTTCTTGGCTATTTTGTTTTGTAAATCTTGCAATCGTTCATCCCATTGTAGATGCTCATCAATAAAAGCACCCAAATACTTTATCTTCTTTTCCCTTTCTATGTCGCATGTTTTTATTGTTATATCACATTTCTTGCTTGGTGAGGTAATTAGCATGTAATTTGTTATTATTGCAGTATTTCAGTACATGTTTTAGTTCATCATTGTTTTTTCTAGTTCATCTACGCTGCTTGAGGAATAGAATATATTTGCTTCATCAGAGAAAATTCTAAATAAAAAATGTTTTGAACAGTTGCGTAAATCGTTGATATATAATAGGAAGAGCAGTGGTCTTAAAGTAGATCCCTGTGGGACACCGCAAGTCATTGATTTCATACTAGATTCTGTTGCAACAATTTTAACGTATTGTTTGAGATCAGATATGTAGCTTGAAAACCATTTATGCGCCACTCGACGAATTCCATAGGAATGTATTTATCCAGTGGGATCTCGTGAATAATGGTGTCAAAAGCTTTCGAGAAATCTAGAAAGATTGTGCAAGTTATTTTGTTTTCGTCTATTACTGTTTTCAAGTTTTCAATAGTTTCAAGAATTGCGTGCTCAGTTGAATGTCCTTTTCTAAAACCAAACTGATAATCAAAAAGTATCTTTTCTTTTTCGAGAAAGGCAAAAATTTTGTTGTAAATAAGTCTTTCTAATAATACATTACTAAAAGGAGAAATAATTGTAATTTATACTTTCCCAATTTCGTTGTAGCGCCACTTTTATAAACAGGAGTAACTCTTGAAATTTTGAATATTTCAGGAAGTATTCCGGTTGATATTGATTCATTATATATCTCTACAAAAGCTTTACATAAGAAGTGACTTGCAATCTTGATGCACGAAATTGGAATGTTCATGTACGATTTATTTTCATCTAAGGAAGAAAATATTGCTGAGACTTGATTTTCTGTTACGGGGCTTAAAAAGAAACTATTTGGTGGCGAAATATTTGAATATTGGGTAGAACTTACTTGATTCGTAGGGAATTTTTTCGATAAGTCTGAACCGACATGTATAAAATAATTGTTGAACAGCTCTCTAATATCGTTTTGATTCGTATGAGTCTTTCCATCATGCACAATTCTTGTCGGTGAAAGTTGGTTTTTGCTCTTTCGTTTTATAAGATTGCCAATTATTTTCCAGGTTAATTTAAGATTATTTTTATATTTTGTGAATTGGGATTGATAGTAATCTTTTTTACTTTTCTGTTTGAAAAAATGTTAACATATTTGCATACCTTTTATATTCATTAATTTTGTGTGGAATTTTAATCAGAAAATGTGTTCGATACATTTTTGTTATTTTATAATTGATTAGAAAATACCGTTTGTAAGCCAAGGCTTACTTAATTGCTTTTGTTTGGTTGTGTCACGGTTTTAACTGGGGCATGGTTATCTACAATTTTATCCCCGAGCCAACGGCGCGAAGAGCCGTGCGAGGGTACTAATTCCCCACCGCTATTTACACCTGGGGAAACGAAAGCATTAGCGGAGTGTAAAGTTCATCAATTATCGCGGGCATGGCTAACCAACGATGGGTGGTCATCCTAACTGATCTAAAAAGTTTGCTGGACTGTCATGATTGGTCCAATTTAAAGTTTGCATCACAATGACTGCATGACAACAGTGAAATAGCAAACATTTCTTGATTTGATGATTGATAAATTTCTTGCAAATATATTTCATTTTTGCTCGCATTTTTGCAAGATTTTGTAAATTTCAAAAGTTTTCTGAGAAAAAAAGGGCGAAAGAATCGGCTAAAAGAAGGGAGACGACGTTAACGAAGGTAAGTTTGTTTTAAATATTGATTTTATAATGGTTTAAAACCCGACGGCCTTTGCGTACATGAAACAACTAAACAAGACACTACAGCATATAATTTCAGTGTACCTTTAATATTGATTCCCTTTTTATTATATTGAATTTTTTAAACAAAAAAGAAAGCTAAGTTATTTGCATGCGAGAATTTGAAATCATTTTATTGCAAACTCAAAATTTACCGATAAAGCCATTTATTTACTAAAGGCAGTTTAGTTTTATAAAGAACACTTTTATTAAAACGTTTTGCGAAGCGTTTGTGGTTGAATTTTACCTTAAATTGAAGCTTATATTACGTATAATAACATACCTAACATATATATGTTGGGAAATTGATAATTTTGTAATTAAAAGTGATATTTTTAGGGGATTTTTCATTTGTAAGAATATTCTTAAAAAAATTATCGTGTTACCATGACAACTTCTTTAGATACTTCATGTTCGGAAAATACAATGGTTTTGTCAGCAAGGCGAGGGTTTCTGCATGCATGTATTTTCTAGTTTAAAGTTGATACAGCATCTTGTGTCTTTTTATCTAAGCTTTTACTATACGTGCAAGAATTTCGTCCCAGCTTGTCTGTTTTATGTCATCTAAGAAATGTTGTTTGTGAATTTTCTTTTGTTGGTACTTTTGTCTACTTGAGTTTTAACAATGCAAAATATTGGAAGGTGATCAGATATATCTACCTCGAGGATTCCCGGTGTGTGGAAGTTTCCGTTAAGGCCCCATTCCAGTTACGCATTTTTCATACGTGCGTACACGCACGTAAAATACATCCTACTTATGAAATAACTAAATTTATAAAAGGACATTATTCAGTTTTGTATATGATTTAATGTGTATTTGTTAAGGTTATTTGCACTTAATTATATGAAATTTTAAACGAATTCAATCTTTATATATGTAAATAAGTTAGTAAATAGTATATATATGTAAATAGATCAGTCTGTATCGACTGTATCAATTCCTGTAAAGCGCATTTGATCATATTTACATGCTAATTTGTGCTATATAAGTTTTTAATTATTATTATTATTATAAATGTCAATTTTGTCAAGAGCATTCCCTGGCGACTTGTCGAGAAGTTTTATATGTTTTAAAGTAAGAAGACAAGCGACGATAAAATATTTTTAATCCAAATTATAAACAATGACTCAATATAATGTTATTTTAATTCATATAATTATAAAAGTAGCCTCAAGGTATTTTAAAACTAAGCTCTGTACGCTTTCGTTCACAATGACCAATGTAGCTGCTTCATTTTTTCAAATTTCCTTGAGTATATACGTCCAGTAACAGTAATTCTTGTATATTTTGAGTTTATTTTGTATGAAAGTATCAAACGAGCTCGTGTTGATAAACAAAGTCTGAGGCTCTCCACTCCTTCAGAGTTGTAAATCCCGTTTCGCGGCGTTATAAAGCCATAGTACTCCAAATTCTTTGCTCAAAATTCTTCTTGTATTCTTCTATCTTTGTGATTGTAAAATTGGTCCGGTCGAAAACGTAGCCAAGGCAAAAAACGCGAAAAACTACCGTCTGTAATACAAATCTATACAAAAGTGGGACCGCAGAATCGGTGGCGGCCGGAGACTTCCGGTTTTACTTTTCTATACTATAGATGCGTTATCCAGTCTTATTTCAGATCAGTGGTGTACGCACGTATGAAAAACGCGTAACTGGAATGCAGCCTTTATTAATGTCGAAGAATGATCAGTTATTCTAGTTGGTTTTGTTATGATAGGAATAAGGCTGTTGTCAAAAGCATATCTAAATACTTTTCCGTTTCCGCATGTTCATTATAGCCTGCTGGCAGTGGTTTCTGAGCTGAGGAGAAACCACTGCAAGCAAATGAACGACCTTCTATCGAGCATGCACGAAGATCACGTGATTGGAAGTCATTATTTTGAATTCATTTCCTGTCGTTTGTTATTTGTAAACATGCGTGGCATAGTGCTGTTTTATTTGTTGTCTAACATGTTTGTCAGTTTTAATCGAACGACTTTTCAATTCTAGGCGACACGCAGTTCACAATTTATATGTATCGGTTATAATCTCGTTCATTGACGTAGCAACCGAGAGGGGGGGGGCTGCAACCCCCCCCCCCCAATAATTTGTTAATAATTATTCTTTTTTCAAAATCATGCAGACCTTTTCATTTAATCCATGCAAAACTGCAAAGTATGAAGATTTTACCCATACTTTC